ATATTTTGGCATGGTTTTTGCCCAAAAAATGTAAGCACCAAGATCAAGTGGAGAGGAGTGTGGACAAGGCAGACTTGTGAGAAACACTTGGATTGAAGTCATCACAGGAAGACGTAAAGGGAATAGACAAGACAGAGGATACAGCAGTGTTTTCTTCTCTCTTCCAGTATTCTTTGAGCATTCCACTCTCAGTGCTATTTTGTTTAATTTCTAAATGCTATTATATAAATGTAGCCTCCCTCTTTCTCAGTTCCATTACAAGATACTTTTTTAAAATATATAGTCTTTGGGGAAAACTAATGACACATTTTAGCAATTTGATTTTTTTCATATGATTTATAGTCTCGTACTTCATACTTAAAGTTTCTAATCTTTTTGACCATTTGTGCTATCTTTACCACTTTGAAATATGCTACAGTTTATTTTTTTAAAACAAGTGATAGGTAAAGGATAAATAATCAGTTTAGTATTTTATGGGAGGTCCCCTTCCTCCTGCCTTTTGGTTATTTGCCAGTGAATAAGATCATTGATAAACAGTAATTATGGAAGAAACATTAAGAGAAATAAAAGGCATTTTCTACTCTGTATAGGATAATAAAGATAGCTAGAGTAGGGCTCAGATTATAGGGAAAAATTAATCTCCAATATAATAAAAAAAGAATTAACTGTTCGTTTTTATTTAAGCTGACACTTGATCATCTAAATACCTCCTATTAAAACAAATATTATGCAGTGCTTTTACTGTCTTGAAATGAATTCTAAAGATAACACGATCCACCTACTAAGATTGCTAAATTATTATAATGCTCTAGTTAACATATAGAAGGAATAAAAGAAAAGTAAGTCATAATAAAAATAATATGCATATCAATATTTAAAGTGCTCTAGAAAATCTATATAAGAAGGCATAATATAGTAGTCAGGTACTTAGTCCTGTACATAAAATCACCACGGATGCAACAGCTTCAAATACACGCTGATGCAGGTGTGCTTATTGGCGACTCAACTCTCATGGGCAGTGATGCCATCACGGATGAGATATTTCTCATATGGTAAACCACTCTTGGTAATTACATAAATCACTCTTGGTTATTAATATTCTGAACAACATAAAGTACAAAATCCCTTCAATTTACATGGTGGTTGGATTCCTGGAAAATTCTGTATATGTTAAAATGATGCCAAAAGTACTTTGAAATTATTTGTTAAACACAGTTAAATTCTGAGCCCATATAATTATAAACAGGGTTTTTAACTCCATAAATAGCTGGTGGAACATTTGAAAACCATGTGGGATACAAAACAATTCTTCATCATGCTCTACTGCCCTGCAAATTGTAGGATTTCCACCATCTCTGGCCTTCTTCCGCTAAATGCCAATAGTTCTTTCCAATCATCTTGACCATCAAAAATATCCCTATAGAGTTCCAAAATGCCCCATGTCCATTAAGAATAACTTGTTGAGACTGAACAAAGACCCATTTTTCTAATGAAGCACTGAGAACCAGTATGTTTTATTTTAACACTGAATTGATTCTATGGATTAGGAGACTGAATTTGCCCCAAAGGTGAATTATCCAGAAAGAACAAGCCTGCCAACCCAAAAAGGGAATGACAAAAATCATTCCCCAAGAACATGGCAGGTATTTAAGATGGGAAGTCCTTTATTCTCTACATTGTCAGAACCCCTCTAGATTAGGAAAATGGGGATTTGAAAGATGGAAAGAAGTTCCTAGTCCCTAAAAAGATGAGGTTTTGATTAAGGCAAAGTTGTGGTAGAGATAAGACCATGGTTATACATAACGTGCTTAGTGCAAAATGGAATAATTTCCCATATAACCAAACATGACTGCAGCTTAATAAGTGGATGCTTTTTTGATTGGCCTAAAATTTCCACTTTTATATCCTTTTATGAATAGATAATGTAATGGCCCAGTGTTTTTGTCCTGATGGAGTTTGCCTAAAGTATTGTATATTTTAGGTACTAGGAAGCTGCTCTCAGAAGTTTCCATTTTCTACGCATTGCTATGCGTAAATATTCATATTAATTTGTAAATATTTTCATTGAACTTTGGCTCAGATCTTTCAAAAATGGTCTTCAAACATGTTATTGAAGTGTGTATATGCAGCCCCAGATTGATACGCAATTACCTAACTTTCAAATGCTATTTTAATAAAATTATTTTTAAAAACCTCCTGTGAAATTTTTTGAAAAGAAAGTCACTTTTGTATAAAATATCCATGTTACTACTCCTTATTTTAGGGAGAATTCTCCCTCCCCCACTCCATTCTCTGTAATTCAATTTCTACCCCACTTTGCTTATTACCTCTACTCCTAGCAATTTCTCTTCCTCTGACAGAGCACATAGTCTCATTATTTATACTCTTAAATTGCAGGGGTAAATGTTGAGAGCCAGTGCAGGTACTCAGTTAACTCAGGGACTTTTGGTCTTTTCATCCCAGGACTAATCAAGCAAACAGTCATCATAAGCTAAAACTAAAGAGCCTATGTAGTCATTTTATCACCAGGGAAATTTGTTCATCCCTCAGAAAGATTGTCACCAGGAAAGAAAAAATAAAGGAGTTAAAATTGCTTCAGACCATTGACTCCTTATGTCCCTCTAGATTCATAGATTGAATTGGTTTTCATGGGGTGGGAGGAATTATGAGAAGAATTCCCTGAGAAAGCTTACAAATTGATCATAGCCTTGGTAACACTACTAAGTGTAAGTGTGATCACTATGGAGGAAATGCCAAATGAGGCTGGAAGCATGGGAAATAAGAAGGAAAAGAAGACAATTAACACCTCTTTTTTTTCTTTCTTTCTTTCTTTCTTTTCTTATTGTGTTTCAAAATGGGTGTTGCCATGTAGTGTGCATCTCCAAAAGGAAGAAATACAATTGGTTTTAAAGTGTTTTATCATTATAAATGCAATTAGTTATTATTGAGGTGAAACTGGATTTGCAAACACTGTAGAAATAGGAACAGAAATTGCATAAACCTGTCCAGAAACTAGGCCCCCTTCTCCATAAACCCACAACATACTACTTCAAGTAGGTATGTCTGAGCATATCTAGAACTGCTTATTACTTGGGTTTAGAGGATATAAATGCATCCAAATTCAAAAGAATTCTTTAAGACTGTCATAGGAATAAATCAGTGAAAATTATAATAATAAATGTCTGGATGTTATGTACATTTTAAAGAACTTGAAAGTTTATATACCAATTGATGCAGGCAGATACATACATACACACACATATGTATTTCCCCCTCCCCCCCAGAATTCTATTAAGACTTCTCAAATTCAAGTCAGCCACTTTAGGAATCACAAAAAAAACTATTAAATAACACTGAATTTTGCCCAAAAAAGACTAATGACCTCATTTTTTCATCTGAATACAGTAATGTTGGAGAATATTTTTCAAGGACATGACTTCAGTAGTGGATCTTAGTTCCCGGTGCAGGTTCATAAGGCCAAACTGCAGAGAAGAGGATAGAAGCACCTCTAAAGACACGGGTTCTCCAGTAGGGCCAGCTCCCGCGTCCAAGTCTCATGCACAGACTGTAGCCTTCTGCTCTCTCTGGTCGACTGCAGCCATAGCATCCTTATTGTTGTAACTCCCAGATTGTGATACTGTCACAAAACTGTTGCTAGGCAACAAATGTGGTTACCAGGTCTCAGCGAATAGCTGAAGGGGAAAGCAAAGTGTTGCACCATTGTAGAGTAACCATAGCAATGACCTACTATTACAGACTAAAGAATTATCATTAACAATGTTAAAGTATCAGACAGAGGCCCTGAATCCCAAGACTTCCAGGCAGTGTCTCTCTGCATAATTGAGTGATCTAGGAAGAGATTTCAACTGTTTCAAAGCTATTCACTCATTTCTATGGTAGGAGTCTTCGTTGTTATTATTTTTATTTTTGTAATTTAAAAAAATGGTTGTTATGAAGAGACTGGTAAAATGCTATGTTATCACAAGGAGTCGAAACAGATTAATATCCTTATCCGTTCTTACGTCTACATCACCGTTAGTTTTTGCCTGTGTTAAACTGAAGGTAGGTTGGATTTGAAAAACACCGCATTAGTATCAAATTGAAGCCATAGAAAGAAGCCCTGGTAAAATAACCCTGTAAAGTGACAAACTAAAGTTGTATTTTCGAGGTCGAATTCCTCCTGACAAAATAGGAGGCCTAGATGCTCTTTTTGTAGTCACTGCTTTGAAACACTTTTTCAGCTTTTCTAAAACTGTCCCCTAAAATCTGTAAAAATGCATCCTCCTAGAGCATTTCTAGGTATAGTCTCCTTTTAATCTGAACCTTCGTGAAGCATCCCATGTAATACGGCCGCAGTGACCTCGCTGAGACAAATTATGTCTAACAGCACAGCTTCCAAGAGAGGCAAGAAAAATCCGATTTATTTTATTCTCTTGGGAAGCAGACAAACGTGGGCACTCCGGGGTGGGTGAAGAAGCCGGATCCCGCGCGCAGGAGAAACCAATCCCCGCGGCGCGCGCGGAGTCTGGGGAAGTGGGTGGTTTCGAGGCGGGAGAGGGAGTGGCCCTTCCCTCCGCGCGCCTCGATTGGCCCGGAGGGGCTGAGGCCCCGGGGCCGCCCGGCCGCGCCTCGGGCAACCCGCGGGGGGTGTCCCCGCCGAGTCCTCGCGTCGGGGGCGGGACGGGGGCTCCGGCCGAGACCGCGGAGGTCTCCGAGGGCCGCCCCGGGCGCCGGCTGCAGAGGAGCGGACGGAGCGGACGTGGACAGTCCCGAGCGCTCGGGGCACCGTGAACCCTCGCGTTCAGGTGTGGCCCGGAGGGGCCGCGACCGGGCCTGGAGACGCGCTCCGGCCGGGGAGCGGGCGCCGGAGCTCGGGCCGTACGCGGGGGACGCGGGCTCCGAGGGCGGGGCTCGGGCTCCGGGCACGGGCACGGCAGACGGGCGGCCTGTGCCTGGGCGCGAGCGAGGCCGCCTCGTAACCGAATCTGTGTTTTTTGCAGGCACCGACCGTCACGAGCTAACTTCCTGGAAGAGCTTCCCGTCTATTTTCAAATTCTTTACCGAAGCCTCTGAGGCAAAGAGCAGTTCCCTCAAGCCGGCTCTGACGCGGCGCTCCCACAGAATAAAGCACGAAGAGCTGTAAGAGGAGAGCGAGCGAGACGGGGGAGGGGAAGCCAAGGCGCCACACTCGAGCATGCATCCACACATCTCCTAACTGCTTGTTGTCGGCGAGCAGACTCCCAGCCCCTCATTAGATTGTTTTCTTCCTAGAGCACAGGGTCGTGATATATACATCTAAATAGCGTTTTGCATTATTTCTAGATGAGTGCAACTGTCAAAGCAATATGGGTTCACTGGTCGTGCTTCCTGCGGGCTGAGCTCTGGCTTCGCGCTGCCCGTCAGCGCGCAGATTAAGGCTGACAGCGCCCTGCCCGGCGCGGCCGGCGCGCCTCTAATTGCCCTGACGGAGCCCGAGCCCGCACTGCGGGGCGAGCGGCGTCTGCGCGGTCCTACCGCCCGCTGCAGCGCAGCCGCCGCTCGCCCCGGCCCCCGGCCCCCCTCAATCATGTCCTTTTTTTTTTTTTTTTTTTTTCTTTCCCCCACCGAGCAGAAGAAAACTTTTATTCTAGATTTCAAACTTCCATTTTAAGTGGGTTTCTCCCTAAGGGCCTCTTGAGCCTCTTTTTTTTTTTTTTTTTTAAAGAAGTCCCCTCCATCCCCTCAGAAAAATTTGAATTTAAATTCAGATTTAAATTCAGAACGTGAATACAGTGATGTACTGTGTGGTCTTGGGAGTGCAAATTGTTCTCTAACCATCTATTTTCATTTCGAGACCAGAAGAAAAACTTTACATAAAAATCTCTGAAGTACCGAGTACACATTACCGCTGACAAATCCTTGCAGTTGAATAGGAGATTTTTTACACAAGTATCTAATTTCAGGAGACATTGTTTCAACCAAAACATAATGATGAGCAAATCTTTTAAGCGTGAAAGGTCCCATTTTCAGTGGAATTTCCAACTTTATCATTAGAATTGACTTTACTTTTTAAATGTGTAATGTGTATTGAGTGGCGTTGTAATTTAGATCGCACACTTGTTTTGCTTTTTAAACCTTAATGTGGAGAAAGTTTGTTGTTGTTGGTAATCCCAACTAGAATGGTCTATTCTGATTCGTGGAGTTCGACCCTGTTAGGGATAGTATTTTATTGTCATCAGGCGAGTGAATCTTGTCTCTTTCGCCTTTTCTTTCTGAAAGGCTGAGTGGGGTTGAGATGCTTTTTTTTAGTTTTCTGCTCCAAGAGAAGGGGAAAGACCTAGTGTGAAAGATTTTCTCCTCTCAATCCAACTAATTTTTAGTATTCCACTTCCTCTGTAGGGTTTTGCTCTACAGTTTCCACAGTTACTGTAATCCAGCTAATATCTGGCCAACACTGTGAAATATAAGAGGCAAAATAAGTTAAGATTTTGCTGACTTTTACATTCAGTTATTAAATCTTAACATCAATTTTTAATTACTTGTATTTAATTACTTAGTGAAGATTCTGTTTCTAGCAGGTGAAGATCTGAATTTAATATTTTTTCATCCTTTTTTAAAGTGTATGCAACAATATGCCTGCCTTATTCCAGGACATGATAAAATGTACCCAAAACGACTTAGAACTGTCTGACTTTACAGGAAAATAACTTAAAATAACCACCTCATGGATAAAATGTTTTTATATTATGAACCGATTTCTGCAGGTTTTAAAACTGAAAATATCTGTGTTTGGTAGACATTAATTCGTTCTTATAGTTTTAATGATGGCAAATCAAATGATCGTCTTTCAGTGGTCATATATGCATATCTTTTGATATTATTTTAGCAGAAACAATGTAGGAAGAAACATCAAAACGTCATTTTATCCAGCTCCTGGATAACTTAAAATGCATAACCCCAACAGTGTCCAGCGTGTTGATCTGCAGTCTTTTCTGTTTTAGAAGTAATGGTGAACTGTGTACAATAATGGTACCTTCCTTTGAGAGGGTTTGAGAAGTGACGTGGATTGAATATATTATTCAAAGTGTTATAAATTGTGTGGTGTTTTCACTATATGAAAGTATTCACGGGAGAACTAGTTTCATTGCTTTTTTAAAAATCAGCACTTGTACAGTGCTAAATTTATGAAGCTTATGCACCTGAATTAGAGCAGACAAAATATGCTCAGCTTATAAACTGAATCACTCCTGTTCCTTCTCAGTTTTCTCACTTCTCTTTTTGAAAACCTTTACTTGCGACCAGAGTGAATCACTGTTTAATTGCCTTTAATACTTTAAAACTACTGGGTTGTTAGCCTCGCTTAACTATCTATGGAGATCTATTTGCAAACTTAAGTTGTGCAAATGTAATTTCTACTTAGGGATCTGAGCTGTAGCAACCCGGAGAGAGCTAGGCACACCAGCCGAGACCGCCGACTGATAAGTGATAAGATTCCTTGTAATGGAGGATTTTTTAACCTGTTGATTATGTGTCTGCGGGTGTAAATGTAGTAATATCAAGCCACCTCAATTTTCCTAGAGTAGTAACAATCAGTTGGTAGTGGCCCGCCTGCTTGGAGGCGACAAGTGTTAACAGTATTTCTGCTCTGATCTTCCCATTTTGGTTTCTTTAGACAGGTTTTTAGCAGAGTAGAGGTTTAAAGTTAGGATGTAGGCTTTTGTAAAAATTATATACTCAGTTCTTAGAGCAAATAAAATAGGAAGCAAGGAGTTGTTGATAAATCGGAGATTCAGAATAGTCCTATTAAAACTGCAAAGCCAGATACTGGCTTGAGAACTTTATAAAGGTATCTGACCACTTAGCCGGTAAAAGTTTTCATGGATATTTGATGGGCGGGGGGATCTATTTGTAATAATTGTTCTTTTCTCAAGTTTCTGCCGTGAGCTTTGACCTGGATTGCATTATTGTTTATTAAAAGAGGGGGGGAAGAAAGTAAAGCACAGGAGTTCCATATATATTATATATTTCTGTTTACCATTTTAAAATAAAAACAATTTTCCCAACAAGCCTCAGCGTATTATTCTTGCTCAGAAGTTCATCTGTTCATGTATAGAGATTAATAAAAGCAGAAACTTAAAAAGAATGGTGGGACAGCATTCATCAATATTTTAAACTTTGTAGCTGCTTTTATTACTATTACCGTTGCTGTAAGGTAATATCCTAACTTAACTTGATCACTCACTATTAGGCTTCGACCCTTCACAAAGCTAACAGTTTTTAAGATGTTCGTTTTTAATATCTAAAATATCTCCTGAGCTACAAGGAATTCTGAACCCATTGTTATGCTATCATTTAATTAAATATACTTTAATATACTGTAAACAAAAGTGTTTTCCAAAAGTAGTCTAGTGACATTAAATTGCTCCCAAGTCCTTGTTAAGGTCCTTAATGTATTATGTCTAATCTGGAAATATCCTGTTTACACATATTTTACAGCCTTCCCTTCTTTAAAACCCGTAACTCCTTTGAGAGAGTGTGGGTGACAAAATATGTTAACTATATTAACAGGGCTAATAAGTTAACATTTTTTACATATTTCTCTGGATTACCTGGAGTCCCAATCCAAACACATGTGTCTCCTGTTACAATCACAGTTTTATAACTATAAACTGACAGGTTTCTATGATCCTGATTCACTTAAGAAAGATTACTATTACAGAAAGTCTAAAAATTTCTCAAAAACTTTCCCCATGCCATTACAGGGAAAAATGTCTTTAAATAAATGTGAGACATTCTCATCTTTGAAATATGGGTGGCAAAAAAAAAAGGATAATAATGGTGGTCATTTTATGATTACTTATTAGGGGCTGTAATAATATAAAATAAAAGACTCCAGGAGGTACTCCCTTTCAAAAATTGAATACTTTCCTTCCTTCCTTCCTTGTATAGAGTGACTGAGTGGGAGTCTCTTGAATTGTTCGTCTTCCTTTTATCTAATATTCTATTAATCTCCAAAAAGATCAGTTTGAGTCTGGGAAAGGGTTTTTAATCAACACTTCACAGAGCTTAAAGCTACCCTACCTAAAGCGTCAGCTTTGTTAGGCGGTTTTAGATTTAAAGCATTGCAACTGTCATGCACTGTACTAAAAGTAAAGAATGTACACCAAGTGGAAGATGTTGAAAAGAGGGAAATAGCACAAAGTCGATTAACGGAGATTCGAGAATAGAAGTAGCCATCAAAGCATTCCAACGTTTATCTCGAAATCTATGTAGAGTTAAAAAAAAAAAAAGCAACAATGATAGTTTTAAACCTCACACTTAGGAGGGATGAATGTTGATTTAATTGATTCATTTGGATCAATGTTTTTAAAGTTTCACACCACTGATCTTTCATGTAGTGATGTCTTTAGCAGTCAGTGGTCTGACATGAGCCTTCTCAGATTTCATCAGTGGGACTCTCCATGACATCTAAAATTATGCAACAGCCTGTGCAGTGGTAACTTTGGAATTAGGAGACCTTGATGCCAGAGAGCATGGTCATATTGAAGAACTCTTGTTAATTCTTAGCACAAAGCTTTTAGAGAGTGGTAATTGTAAATGAACCATAAAGGTTAAAGTGACCAAATATTATATAGTGGGCTTTAATTGCTAGATGGGAGAAAATTGTCCTGAAAGTTTGACCATTAAGTGGATATCATGCAGTGACCAGTATATTCCCCTTTAATGTAAAAACTAGAAATTGGAAATTTGACTTAATCCATGAGGCCTTCCAGGCAACTTTTCCCAGCCCTTTGCCTTGAGATTTGTGAAAAACGTTTCACTATATTCTTTGTACCATTGGGTTGAGTTTTATTTGAAACAGACATGAAACATGTTTCTAGAAAAATGTAGAGAGGCCCTGCATCTTTCTTTCTAGATCATTCAGCTTTTCTTCCTTGGCTATTACATAGGGTGATATGGGAGACTGTCATAGGTAAAATAATGTTGAACTGTACTTTGTAACCAGCCTGCAGTACCAATACAAAGAATCTGAAATGAAAAGACAACCAACACCCCAAGAATGATATGTCTCTTTTTAAAGTTTACAATTTGAATAATGAACTTGGATAGAAACTTGGCAGGAAAACAAACCATGGCACCATCACATCACCAACCATTTTCACTTTTCTGTCCAATTTCAGAGTGCATGTGTTTGTGAGTATTTCACTAGATCAGTGACAGCTCTTTATTTGCATAATTATATGCTCTGGTCTGAAGAGAAAACTAACCCCCAAATTTCATGGGTCACCAAACTGCAACAATCAATGTTTTATCACGTATGCTAAGCAAAATCTAAGAAGCTATATGAAGTTTCTTGGGGAGTTTTTACTCCTCAGAAAATTAAAGAGTTTTCCTCTTCTGAATAGATTCAAAATCTTTCCAAGTTCTTTGTAACTGAATTCTGTTTGAAGGCAAAACTAGAGATTAACATGTAGATCTGGATCTTCGACTCACTAGCATTACTTCAAAGTGGCTTAAGAAGAGCAGCATTTTTGGAACACTGAACTTTTAAATTCTAAGTACTGTCCATGCTATGAGGAAAAAAATTATTGGTCAAATTATGATTGGTCAAAATGAAGTCTGAATTAACTACAATTGACTATAAAGTTGATTTCCTTCTTTGAGATAACTCAGGGTGTTTTTTTTTTAATAAAAGACCTAATAGAAAAATATGTATGAATGCATATGTGTGTGTGTGTGTGTGTGCGTGTGTGCACATACACACATGCACACATCCATACCCATCCATGGGGTATATACACCCTTCCCACCAGTAATAAACAATGCATACAGCATGTGTTTGTCTTTGCAGCATCCCTGACATGGTAGGTACTCAATATATGTTGGTCGCCAGGATTGTTTGTAAACTTATTTTCTTCTAAATAAATTTTCATGTACAAATGCTTCATGGCATTGTAATAAATATTTTTTAAATGCCTCAAGTTCATTTGCATCTGTAAATTCTGTATGTGATGTGTATTTTTGTGTAAGGTTGGCTTTATTTCATTAAAGAAAAATTGATTTAAACTGTTGGTGTCTATTTTATAGGCAATCTGCCAGACCTGAAATACAATAGACATAGAGACACATGCAGACAGTGACTTTGTTATGGAGTTATTAAAATCCTAGAAAATATGTCTTTACCTAGGCATTTTAGAAATACACTAGATACTGTATTTAATTCCACTGCAAAAGGACTTAGATACGAATTTCACTTAAAAGCATATAAGGCACTACCTTTTATAAGAAGTAATCTGTTTGTAATAATGTATTAACAGTTTCATTATTAGGCAATTCACTGCTGTCAAGAAAAACGTTAGGGGAAAAATGATACATTGAGGGAAGAAATTTCAGAATTGCATTGTTTTGAAGTATTTTATTCTTTATCTTGAACAAGGATGAGATCTTTAGGTCACGCATCAGAAATTTCCTAAAATGTTCCTGTTATTTCAAGTGAAAAACTAACTTCTCCCAAGTTTTTAATCAAAGTTGAATTACAAATGAAAGACATTTTGTTTCTCCTTTAGCCTGAAAATGTAAACATCTGCTTATCAGGAACACTATCCACAATCACCACATCTCATCTTCTCCCTGCCTTACTGAAATGTTCGCCTACTTCTGCTCCCTCTGCACCACCCCCATCATCTACCTCCCCAGAAACTGCTGTTGGGAATGAAGATCTTGGAGTCCTCTAGGTGAACATTCCTCAAAACTGAATCTGTAAAAACAAATAAATAAAATTTAGCATTTTTATCAAACAAAATGAGCTGGTAGGCAAATGAGTTAACACTGCTGTCTAAGCAGTAAAGTCTGAAAAATAAAGCATAGAACCCTCTAGATTACTGTTTAAAGATAGTTGAGGACCTGCGTGTCTCTGAATTAGATTAACTTGCATTTTATTTTTTAAGGTATAAACTCTTCAAAGGAACATAAAAGATGATACTATATACCTAGTTACCTTTTTCCCCCTCTGTTTGACTTTTGTAGGAACCTTGCTGTGTATGAGTTTCAGATAGGGCTCTCCGTTTTCTACTCTGCCTGGGACACAGAAAAGTCTCTTATTTCCCACTGAATTCCACAGATGAAGGAATGGACTGCTTAGCTGAAAGGCCTAGGTTTTTTTTTTCTTTTTATCATTTTCATTTATTTTTGCTCAACTACCTCCTAATCCCATTGTGTCTGAAAGAAGTATTTCTGACCTAGTTCATCTTCATGTACCTCCAAATAATTTTCCAAAGGCTTACTTTCTTCTTTGTTTTTTTAAACCATAATTAAATAAATGGCTTTTTTCCAATAAATGTTCACACCTTCCAAAGGTACTTAGATAATCAGGATATATCAACTGAAGAAATACTGATGGTTTGTTGTGATGGTTTGGTTTTGTTTTTTGGTTTGGTGTGGTTTTTAGTTGTTTTTTTTTTTCTTCTTTTCCTTTGCATCACTAAATTACTTAATATTATCCCCTGGAATAACCAGCTCTAAAAATAACACTAGCACAAAGTGTCATGATTTGGCTTTCATACAGTTTCAAAAGAAAACCATTAAAATTGCATTGATCTCACAAATATTGATCTGGTGCTTGATATCAAATATCAAATGAGATGCTGTCAGTTGCTGCTGATCATTGTGTCAGCTGTTTGAATTTGTGTCCTTTTCCTTCTTCGTTGTCACATGGATTCAAGTTGCTGAGGCAAAGTAAGATTTTCATGGTTAACACAATTAAGATAAATTCTTTTCCTATTTTTCACATTTCTGGTTTGACCAAACATGGTTAATAGTTAACCTGAAATTTTGTTACACAATTTCAAATATTTATAGATATATAGATATACACACTTCTGTTTTTTAAGACACGTATTTTATACACGTGTGTAACAGTGTATATATATATATATTTAAAGTTCTGTGTGTGTTTTATAAAAGTGTGAGTCACCTACTAGGTAGTTATGTTTCCATTTAGTTCTTCATCCTCATTTTGAAATAATTTCTCCCTGCATCCTATTTTCTTTCTGGCCACCTGTCT